GGTTGCCACATTGCTCAGATTACAACTTGACGAGGAATAAAATAGGATATAATGCCTTTTTTTCAGCAGAAACTTTCATAAGATTATATTTAAATAACTTTTAAAATAAATATCACTTTAAAATATAAATATTTATAGATAAATACTTAATTACGCAACTGTTTCTCCTAATATTATACAATTTCTTTAATAAAAAAGAAGTGCACATAATACATATCCAAATTTTAAATAATACTTTTAAGTAATTTTTTATCATAATATAAACTTTCTGAGATACATATATGAGATATATCTCCAAATACTTGCGTTCGAATGTCAATAGTCGATTTACTTCACTCTGCAATTTGCTTATCTTGTTTGTCCGATTAATGATTAATGTCAAAATTGATAATATTAAACTTGTTATTTTCTGTTATTCAGATGTAAAGTTATATAAATTTTTTTCCCTGCCAATTTATATCGTAAGTGATACCATACTCTAAAAAGGAATAGAACCAGTCACTGAGCCAAGCTTGATTAATCCAGAGACTGTGCAATCGAACCTTAACGCGCAGTCTGCAGCCACACACGGATGCGGAATGTCACGCGAAAACGCAAGTCACGTTTAGGTCATGGCACAATTAGATCGAACGCAAGCCAGCGGCTGTCACGCGCGCGCAAAGCTTCCTTCAGGATGATCGTTGTCGACGCTTCTAATTGATGCCGGAAAGTTTTCGAGCCGAGTGTCACGACTGAATATTTTTATGTAATACCAAATAAATACATAACTGAAAAATTCAAGGATCTTCGTCCATTTTTCATAAATATACAAAAAGTCTGTGTTAAAGTTATATATTTAGAAAAATAACATGCAAATTTCCGCCGTTTATCAAACTAAAAATATACCAATGATGATAATTATTGTAACTCATATTGCATAAATTTGTTCTTATTTTTATTAAAACGGTAGTTTATCTGAAATCTTTTGATGACTTAAAAACATACGAATGATTTTTGCGACAGTAGTAGAATGGAAAATTATAAAGAGCTGTACATAAAAAATTTAGCTCAAAACAGTGACAATAAACAGTTTAAGTAATAGAACAAATTTTTCCAATTTAAATTTTTATGAATTGATAAAAACTTAGCCAGTTTGTGTCGTCAAAACATTTGCACATCATAATACAAGATACAACTGTAGAATTGACGGAAGTAATAGTGCGCACAACAGACTTCATAAAGAATCCGAACATTGTCACAATTGGAAAATGATACTTATCCCCTTCTAATTTTCCACTCACCGATAAGCGCGTATAAAACGATAATGTAACGCATGTGACAAAAAGAGCGGTACTCGAAAGGTACAAAAACGCACCTGCCAAACCCATCGTGAAGATCTGCTTTTTAACCGGTTGTTTCCCGTGTCGATTCTCTTCAACCTCGATGAATTATGAAACTCGTTCGAGGTATCCGATCACTATCGCGACACTGCGACGTGTTCGCTTGCTCTCTTACCGGCCACTCGTGCGCGATTTAATCGTCGTGCCGTGCAATGTTGAGAGATCGATCCTCTCACGCGAGGATGACTATCTGCGTCTTTCGCCGACGGCTACTTTCTTCCTTTCTCCTCAGCTTCTCAGTGGTTCTTTCGTAAGACGTTTGTTACGCGAGATCACGAAAATAGCCATTGTCGCGTCGTATACCGATGGCATCTCTCGCTCCTTCAGTACGGTGCGCGATGTTGAAGCATCGAGGACGATCGCGGCGACGTCGGCAACACGAGTGCGGTGATAGCGCCGATAAACGCGACAACGACGTTAATGACCTTCGCCAGACACCACGGCGGCGGTCCGGTGACGACTGGCAAACAGCTGTAAACGTACGCACGTTTTGCCGCTCTGCTTTGCCGTCGTCCACGATGTGGTGGGAGGTAGGCCGCGCGTGTAAGCGTGTTCACCGATTGTACGCATCGCAAGTTCACGAATTTTTTATCCAAATATTTAATCCTAAAACTATACTCTCTCTTGTTATAATTGATCTTTTCTAAAGGTCTCCGCACAGTACACTCATATGTCAATTTTTAGCGTTGAAGATGATAAAACGATTCAGTTTTAGCAACAGAATGCCTATCTAAAAATAAGAATTCAGTAATTAAAATTATGGAGGATAAAACATACATTACATTGAAATGAGTTGTTAATAATAGTTCCAGTTAAATAATTTCCGACTAGTCATTTGCGTTATAATAAAAAGCGGTTCTCATTACGGATGCAAATCGCGAGGTTTTTTATTCCCTATGCAAAAAAGCATATTTTTATTACACAGTCCTTTTTGATGATGGTTGACCACAAGGCCAGAAGGTCAGATAACATTACATCACCGCGTCTTAGGAACTAATGCGCGTAAATTACATCCTTCTCTTTTTATATGAGAGCGTATGTAAGCGACGAAAGCGATGAAAGCGACGAGCTAAAAATATAAAAAGTAGGATTGTGTTGTTTAAAAATATATTGCCTTATATTTATCTCATTCATGAATTATGGTATAAATAACGCGTTCAATTCATGAATTATGGTATAAATAACGCATTCAGTGCTGAATCAATGTGTGGAAGTCATTATCACTTAAGATGAAACGATAATTAGTAATAATCATTTGTGATAGCAAGAATCTCAAATAAATTGCATGGAATAAGAGTTGAGTGTTGAGGAAGTTAAAAATTTAAATTTGTGCAAGTGAGTTTTTTTTTGGAAAATTCTCTCCTAAAGTCACTATTGACAATTTTTTGTATAAGTATTAAAATACATATTAAAATTAAAATTAAATTGTTATACACGAGACGAAATAATATTTTTTCCACTACGCAAATCGTCCGTGCATTCATTCCGATTTTTCTCAACGTCTCTCATACGGAAATGATGAACTAATCGCGGCAAACTCGTCACTTTTTTCGCTGTCGACAGTCGGCTGCTGTTTCGCTATACGCGATCGGACGACTGTAACAAAGAGTGCTGAGATTGCTCGTGCTTTTCGCGCAAACAGGGAGAGCGCGGAGGCGAATGCGAAGAACGACGTGTAATAACAAAGCTGCCGGATGGACACAGAGCGGAGTGAGTCAGTTTCCCCGCGATAAAATGCGAATGCTCTTATTCCCGCTGACGGACAATGAGGCAGCAATAAAAGTGATTCATGCCTCCGTTTTACGCGCCTGTTCACGTGTGGAGAGTGCGCTTGTTGGTATCACCGGTGTTGCACTTGTACCACCGGTGGCGGTGCGCATTGTTCGAATCCGACTGAGGTGACAAGCAACAGCAGCGCGATAATACGCGGATCTGCAGAATATCGGCGAGTCTCGAAAACAGAAATATCAACAAAGCACAGCCGCGATATTTTTAGATATCTGTACTGCCTCTTACGTGTATTTTTAGAGTTACTATCATACGCATGTATAATGACTGATCGAGATAACAATCGATCGAGCGACACTAAAGCGATTGGAACAATAGTTTACAGTGATATAATAATTGATAAAAGAGGATTCAACGATTTTCAATAATTTCGTGATATCTATTGGACAGCGAGTTATCAATTTGAATGATTATCGAGTTTACTGTGAAAAAACATCAAAAATATATTTGTATCAATTGATACAATAATATTTAATTACTGAATTCATAATTGACAATCACTAGATAATCTTGGACACGTCATGCGACAAAAATTTCACATAATTTAACCATTTGCTTCATGTTGTGTAGATAAGATAAATTCTTTCAATGACAAATTCTTTAAAATATGGTTTCATTAATTATTAATGCACTTTACTGTAGATAACGATTTATATAATCGAATAATATGTAAAAATATAAATTTTTGCCAATAATCAAAAGACTTATATGAATCACTATACATAAATCAAAAATTAACAGACAAGTACGAATTTAATGGCGTTTTCGATTGAGATGTACCAGCATTGTGCCAGTGTATAGTAATTTTGAACTAGTGGCTGGTCACTGGACGCGTTAGACATAATAGTTGATCCAATATGCATTCAATCAAAAACGTTGAATAACAAGTGTTGAGGCGAGAATGTATCTTTCACTTTAATATATTCCGAGATATACTTAAAATTAACATTTCATTTTCTATTGAAGCCTTTTTCAAGAAAAAGACTTCATATATTGTTATTTTCCATGTAACTAAAGATTTTCTAAAACGGAATTATTTTCCTTCTTTTCATTTTATGTCGATACAAATATTACATTGAACAGAAACAGTTCAAGGAATTGAATATTGAAATCTTAATGAATATGCATTAAAAGATGTTTGATCAAATTAATATTAATGAGACTAAAAAAAGTTTTTATTGAGTCTAATAAAATCTAGCAATTTGTGATTGAAAATCTTAGACTATGCATTCTGTTTAATAGCTATTTTCTTATATCGATATATTATATAGCATTCATCTTTACTTTTCTTTACTGAATTTAGCAATCTTATATATAACTGCATTTCATAGTTTTATTTATGATCATGTCATAAATTACGTGACACAACAATCCAGAAGAAACAATATGTTTATAATCAGAACAGAGAATTTGTCTAATCATTGAAAATATATCCGCAAATTTCGATACGCTCCGCATATACCAAATTTTTAAATGAAGAAACATATATGTATCGAAGATTTCATCACATAGGAGCGTAAATCCGAAATCACAGCTTTACAGGAACGAGAAAAATTCGAATTTTACACATAAGACTGTAATGTATATACGTTATAGATAAGGAAGCATTAGGAATACAGGTATATTTCTAGATTTCCAAAATATTAACTCCTAAAAATTGAGATATTAATTCCTTAAAAATCGGGGATATGCCTCTGTTATGAAACCCTCGATATATGCAACATAGAACCTTGCCAAATGAGCACTACGAGCACTAATGTTAAATGTCGGAAAACCCTTACGCGCAGATTTTCGAGAATTATATTTATCCAAAAATCCAAAAGTTAGACTCACCAACGATAGTGGTAGTAGGGGCGGTGGCGGTGACGGTAACGGTGGCAGTGATGGCGGTGGTAGTAATAATGTCGTGCAATGTGATGGATTCTGGTTCAGATGTGTATTCCAGTAGACTGAAGAATGCTCCATCGTTTATATTGTCCAAATCATTGTCGGTTTCATAAGAAAATGTCATTATGAACTACTGCTTTCTGGCTCTCTTTTGTTGTAGCAATCGCTGCAGAGCTCTTGGGAGAACAGATAAGTCGTCGTGCGACGTGAACTTGCGGCAAACAGAATGATGTACGATCGGTGCATTCTTGTCGAGCAAATTCTATCCTTGTCGTCGATGAGGATAACCTGACACTACTAGTGGGTACGGGATAGGTACGAATCGAGAACACCGTACGAGTTGTACGCATGTCGCACAAAGGAGCTTCCGATTCACATGATTTGATCCCGACAAACGCACTAATGTTGAGGCAGGACTTTTGGAAGATCGCCGGGATAGAGCTCGCAGTGGGGAAAAGAGCAGAAGAAGGGAGGAACGACTCAAAACTGATAATCTAATCAGAACCGTGTCCCGCTACGTCGCTACACGCTGATGCACTTTTTTTCTTTCTATTGTAAATATTATTTCAATACGCTAGATATTAGTTATACAGTTTTTTTAATAAGAAATATTTTTTGAATCGGAACACTTTTTCGAGAATTAGCTTGTAGTGTTATTCAAGAGAGGAAATAAAAATATTTAAATTTTTTATTATTTATTATTTTTGAAAGTATTTAAATAAAATAAGTATTATTTAAGAATATTTTTATAATCTCTTATGTGTTTCCCGAAAGAAAAGTCTATAAATTATTTTAAAAATTAAAGAGACACAAAAGTCCAGTTCGTTCTGAAGCAGATATAAACGTATACTATATATTTGTTTCTTGACATTTGCAAAGTAAAACTTTCTCTTCGATTCTTGAAGCGAGCAAAATTTAACTACGCATTACTAATTAAAAAAAAGCTGTACAACATATATATAACTAGTTCTTGCTGAAAGAAGATGTGCGTCCGGTTTTTGGCAATATATTTACGCATATAGCGTTAGATATTGCTGTAAAAAGCATTGACGACGCGTGTTAACGTCGTGCAATGATGGCTCGATAGCGAGATTATGTAAATGACAATCATGCGAGAAAAACATGGTAATCAATGTACGATAGAATGGCGTCTGTTGTAACCAGGTCGACGAAGTAAGTGCTCGTCATGATTTTTTGCAATGATACACCTGCCAAGCCAGTTTTCCCCATCGACAAAGCAATCTATCTTATTTTTCAATGTCTCTTTCGAGCTTTGCAAATATTTTTCCAGCGATATTATCTTATCAATTTTTTTCACATTAAATCTCGAGAGGACACAAAACACTCGTATATGAGGTAAGCAAAGCCCTATTTGGACTGAGTTTTAAAAAGCCAAATACTTCTCGCTTAAATGTTTGTGTGCCCGATTTGTCTGTCGTAATGACATTTCGCATACATTTTTCCAACTTTATGATGATCATATCTTAAATACAAAAATAGTGAAAGTCGCTATAAACAATTTGTGTTAAACATCGTGGCAAACTTTGTCAAGGGATAATCTATCCTAACGTTGCGCTCTAATTAGACTTCAAGCTTACAGAAAATTGATCGACAGTAGGTCGTGCGAGAGAATAATATGACGTCATATATGACATATATGACATTATATATGCAAATCTTAACTTTCGAGGCAATTTGTCACGTCCAGCAGATTATTTCTTGCTACACTTTTCTAAACAGACTGACATCACGTGCTTGTGTTCTCGCGACAAACGTGTTTGAGATTATAAATTGTGACGCGTTCTTGTTAACTGCAAGTAACACCTGGGATAATATATATTTAGAGTTAAATATAACATCGCATAATATTCTTATGCTCTTGGAAATTCCAAGAGGCCAATAAGTCTCCTCGACTTTTTTAATCATCACGCGCGTGAAGTATCCTGAAAACATATTTTAATGCAAATGTAAACTGTTTTCTGATGTAAAGTTTTCATAATTTAATTTCTTCATTCTTTCGCATAGAACAAATTCTCTAATTTATATTTTTTTATAGCTAAAATTTTTTTCCAAGTTTGTCAATTAATTTACGTCGTAATGATGATACGTTTAAATTGTGGCAAATGATGAACTACTTTGTACGATAACTATTTTCGAGAAAGAAAGATCGAAGAAAAATAGATTTATGAAGGAATCAGTAGTGTTTTTCAAAAATATTTATCGGTAATCACAGAGTACTGTGAGCAAGTATTTCATGATTTAATATATCGAGAAAAGTTCAGCAGTGTCATTGCATTTTGCATATTTGTTTTTTAAGTGACATATGAAGGACATTGAAGCACTTTTGTTAGAATAAGACGCGCGTGTCGAGTGTGTGCTGTAACATGCATGCAAATTCATTATTGATAGATTACGTGATTAAAGATTGTCAATTCTGTTCAATAGATTGTAAAAAAAGCTTAATACGTTAGGAAGCTGTAATGATGTATGAGCTAATCGTTTTAAAACAGAAAAATAGATAAATTTTTCCAGCGCAATTCTTACAAAATTAATGTTGCTATTGCAATACAGTTATCCTACAGTTCGTGGGATGAGCAGTAAGAAATAATTATGCATTATGCATTAATATGTTTGACAAACATAGCATAATCACAAAAAATTACGATTTAAAAAAATATATTTTTTAAACCTTAAGAAATGTTGTCTTCACACAAATATATTATATTTCTTGGATTAATAAGCAAAATTTTAACTATATTATTAATTTTGAACATTACATTTTATAAATTAAGTAATAATTATGTAATTCGTTGGAAGATATAAGCTATTGAACATTTTATAATGCTTCGTGAATCTAGCTAAAGTTAATAAAATCAATTTTAAATAATTTTTTGAAACATTGAATTACATTAATCCAAAAAATTTATATATTTATATTATTTTAAATATCCTTTAGTTTTTTAATCCTTTCTAGAAACACTTTTCTGTGACAAAATAAGATACGAATCAATATGTGTTTAATTTAGACTCTTGCATTTGAGCGAAATATTTATAACGTTACCTAGCAACGTTCCAATATAATCGATTTGTTAATCGATAGCCTTATCGGTTTCACTGCTTATCTCAAATAAATTAAAGGAAAACAAAAAACATCTAAAAACAATAGCGGCCAAGTATAACTATTTTTCATGGTTTAAAACAATCTACATCTTATTTTCCACAACGAAATTAGGCACGACGAAATAAATCAACAATTTTTTATTCACAATTTTGCAATCCAGTAAAATATTTCTAATGATACCTGATAATGGTATTCCCGATAACAATACTCGTTAATTGATAATGCGTGTCTTATCAGCTTGTTCTTATATTTATCTCCAATAAATTGAAAGAAAAAAAGAAATAGCTGAAAACAATAGCGGAAACTGGCAAGAGTAACTATTCTTTATAGTTTAGAACAAATAGTTATCTTATCAGTTGAGTTTTATTTATCTGTCTTGTTAAGTAATTTATGACATACAAGTTATAGAAAGATAAATAACTCTGCGAGTGGGGGGAGCTGTAGATCTTTATCGCGGGTAAACATCATTTTATTTTTTATATGCCAGATTATACCTAGCACGATTGCAAGCTTATTAACCTCGAGTAAAAAAAATGAGAAAAAAAACAATACAATTGCATAAATTTCGGTACACGATAATGATTTTCCATTGTAATACAATTAGTGGTTTATAAATGAAGAAATCAAAGTGGAAATCAATGGATTTGGGTATGATTTCAAGATTGCGTTTGCAAAATACTAGAAAGTGTATAATAAAACTGCGGTGAAACACGATGAATATATTGCGGCATAACGCATTAACAGAATATGTGTAATTAACGAATAATGTGATGAGGATCCCTGTTCGCGCAATATCGTATCGCGTAATACAAGCGCTTTTTTTCGTACACCTTTAGATAGATGCACAATTAGAGTGCGCCGAATATTGACAAGGTTGCACGATCTCGGCGACGATCCGACAGTCGGAAACTCGACGACGAGCTCTTTCCTTCTTGCCGCGGGTTATCTCGGATGACCCCTTCGCGACGGTTTGCTCATAATGTTATTATAACCGCCGATACAACACGCCGAGAATGCAACCTTCGATTTGTCATGCAGTCAAAACGTGTCGCGATTTACTGACAAATGAAATCCGTTTGACGATCCGTCCACGGTCGTCCGTCGACCGCGCCAAACTTTTCCGCCCTCGTTCTTCGAGCTTTTAAGCCCAATCTACAATGTTTTGTTTTTTTTTTCTGCCTTTTTGCCTTTATGTAAAGACATATTTTTCTTCGGAAATTTAGAAAGGAGAAATTGTAAATCACGATGTTTCTTGACTCTATGCGACAAACACATAAAAAGCAAAAATAGGAAAGGCAGAGAGCAAGAAACAATATGCAAGAAGCACATTGTAGATCAGGCCTTAAATTTGTCCATAAATACTTGGGTAAAACAATCTTTTCTTAAAAAGAGAAGTGCTCATTTAATGCTCATTTAATGCTCATTTAATGCGCATTTCTGTAGTCTTAAAACGTTTCTGCCGGTTTAGCACTTGTCGATTAACAAATGCTAACAATGAGTGAATTATCATGATTCTAAGAAAAAAAGGTTAGAAATATTGCTAGAAATATTATTGCGCTGAATAATTGTGATTAGAAAGAGGATGTAAAAAAAATATATTTATAAAGCGCGAGTAATGAGCGTTTCTTCATCTTTCCCTATTTCTTTAGTCCTTATCTCACGTAAACACGCTGCTTCGTACGTGATATTCACTCTCATCGCGAATCATGGAAAGAACCACGCGCGAATGCCACGTGCTTCGACGAAGATGCGTTGTCGATGAATTACCGTTAATCGACTAAGACTAAAAGATTCAGTGTAGTAGGAAAATTATCATCTCAAGTGCGATTAAATAAAATAAAATTTTATCGAAACATATTTCGTTTCAAGCTCGAATTATTTCAAGTTCAAGAAATATTTTATTTATAACGTCTACAGCACACTCTGCATAATCTGTCAGTAATTAGAATTAAAATAGAATTTTATTAAAGATGTCGAGGCGCGCATATAATTGCAAAGTTATTCATGTTATTTTCTCTGGCAAGCAATATCTGGGTAAAAAATTAATATCGTCGATATTGCAACAATATAATGCAAAAACTTGTATATCGGACAAGTGTTTTCGCATAAATGATTTTATTCCTGCAAAGAAATAATTTTAAATAATATCAAAATCACGCTTAATAGAGACTATTTTATGAGCAATTTTTTCCCTTTACATTATTAACAAGCGTAATAAACGAGCGAATAAACGTTCACTTCGGAATCAGTGTAACAGGATATAAAAATGCAATATCAATTAAAAAATATCGTTTTTTACGTCTTTTGCAAAATATCTAATCACAGTGTACTTATTCGATTTGAATCGACCTTCATTTGAACGACTGACATTTTACTTTACAACAATCACTGATAAATTACTTTAAAATAATGGAATTAATTCATCAGTAATTATCGGTATTGATAAGAAATAGTTTAATTTTCTTCCTTTTTTTTAAAGCAGTATTAATATAATAAAATATACCACTCCTCTCGTCAACGAGTCCTATTTTCGATCTATTCATTCAGTATAAATTTCTTCAAAGTAATGAAGAATAAATGTTATGAAAAATACAGTAGACGATCAAGCAGATTTGTTTAAAGTACTGAATCATGCGTTGCAATCGATTTTCAGACTGGCCATCATTCTGGTACTGCGCAGCCGAGGTCCTCGGGTTATCTGCGGCTGCGGCACGGTATAGTCTTATCTCGCGCGCGAGCTTGTTCATCCCGCGCGAATTTTTACGTATAGTTGCCGGATAAGAATATGCGTGTCTGCGACCGATTGCGTAACAAGCGATGGCGCGTGCTTTTCTGCGCGGCTTTTCAATTTTTACACGCGCGCGCACGCCGACCTCTCTTTCTGAGCGATCGTCCTTCGCAATGAGCTATTTACGGCAACGTAACGAGGCGATACACGGAGAGTTTGCCAAATTGCTTACCGCAAAACGCGCGGACGTATTCACCTCGAAGCTGAAGGGAAGAGCCCGCATCTCGGGCTCGTGTCCAACGCGCGAACGATCGATTTTCGTCTTGTCTTGAATTCTAAACGCGAAGTATGCGTTAAATAATTAAATTCAGGAATAGATATATGTTTGTAAAAGAAGTTAGAATATGTATCGACAGAATCAACTTTGCAAGAGTATCTATACAAAATAGTTGTGCGTACGCATTTGCATTCTAGATACGCAGATACGATAAATAAAATACAGTGTTTCTTGTAAAAATAATCAACTTTGTGCACAATAGAGTAATAAATAAATAGAGTAAAGTGTCGCTGAATGATTTTGCCGCCAATTAACCCAGTGTAATTGCTCGTGAAGAAAGATGCTCGTTATACTACAAATTATTTATGAAAGTACTCACCGCTGTTCGGAGAGGAACAGGATGCCGGATGTCCTCTGACGATCACACTATCCTTGATGGTCATTAATTCCTGAATGTCGTGGCCCTCCATGTCGGGATCGGATCTACCCCCGTCGCCCACCTTGCTGCACCATCAACTGCGGAGTTGATAAAAATCGATTGATAATTGCGCGTATCGACACCGAAACCGGAAATCATCGAGAGTTCCGTCGTAGCGCCAATCGGCGCGCACTGTACGCCGGAAGATAGAGACGCGCGCAAGAGACGCTTTCGTCTGTGCAATCACAATTTTGCGAATGTGTGCCTAGCGTCGATGAGGGCAAATTACACGGTGATCGGTGCTTCGTGCTTCACTTTACTTAGCTCTCCACCGCGGCGGCCGCCGTGTTGCGGCTATTTCGGAAATATCGCGCCTATAACGTGCGTTACGCGGCTTGACCGTATCGCGCTATCTGCGCCCGTCACGCGTTTAATCTTCACTTTCGGGGAGATTAGAAAACGACACCACGAGCGGGAGGGATGAGAACCAGCAAATCGAAACGTGATTTAAATATATCTTTATTGCGTGCACCCGGTGAAATTAATCAATCATAATCACGTGTCTATCAGATATATATTCGATTAGAATTTGAGTGGAATTTGAGTAGAATTTTAAAGAGACGCTTTCGCAATCGCGATAAGGTTTAAATTTGGAAAATAATTTTTGTATAACTTTCGATAGGAATGATTCCAATGTTACATAAATAAGACTATGCTTCGTCTTTCTCTCTTGACGAGTGTAAACAGAGAGCAACAGGGAGGACGCAATCTGAACAAGTTAAAATTAAAACGTCTGAAATAGTTGAGCTATAAATATCGACTCGCGATTTATTCGAAAAGTTTTGCTGTATTTCCTAACAAATGTGCAATGTCTGGCTGCCCCAAAAATTAAAAGCGTCGACTTTCGCCTAGTGACACTAATACGACTGGTTAAAGCTAACACAAGGCATTGTCCTGTGATTCTTATTTTTGCGAAACACAATTCAAATTCTTGACATAAAGCATAGTGTCACTTATGCGGAGGCGTATTCACAGAGAACAGAAAGCGACTTGTTATTTCAAAAATCACTGAAAAATGAACACGCAACGAACAGTTGCGCGTTTCCATTGTAAAGAGGATTAAATACGACTATCATGAATAACAGTTTCTCTGTCGTCGCGATAACTTTAGAAGCTGACAACCGAAACGGATGTATTCGTGATTTCATTAAAGATGAATTGTAAATAGCACAATTCTGCCGAACCGAAAAACATTTCGAGATCGATCTTTCTAATGGCCTAATATTGCAACAAAATTTTTCACCGCACAATTTCTTCTGCTCAACGAACAAAATAATTTGCACAGAGAGATATTTTGATGAGAAAATCTAGTTCAAGTTTACCCACGAATTGTTGTTAACACGATATTCTTAGTAGTTAGAGCACCCTGTATACACGTTCACACATGGAATCGTATGCGTGCAACAACTTGGCCGGTTTGTCACTCTCCACTGTTCCATGTTATCATCGGAAGGAAAGAGAGAGAGAGAGAGAGAGAGAGAGAGAGAGAGAGAGAGAGAAATAGAGAGAGTAAGACCTAACCTGATTGAGTCAACCGTGGCGCCTCTCGTCGTCGTGCTATGCGCACTGTTCGCAATCAGCGACGGTTGCCCACCGCAAATGACACCTGTTACGAGAGTGCATCGAAGAAGTCGATACACGTTCGCTGATGACAAATGGCTCATAAACCGGAACAAATAATCTTTTTATTCTTTATGTAGCTGCGCTATTTCCTTTTCCGACTCAATTCGGCTTTCTCGCGCGAAGACGACTGACACTCACGCATGCGCTCGCTTCATGGCACGACACAGCACGACATAGCAAACACTCAAAGTGCCACGGCGGAAAGTGTTCGTTTCACTGCCGCGAGATCGTGTCGCCACGGTGTATAGCGTTTTTCAGATATATATACCGAGTGGCATCAACCGGAACACACGGCGACGGCGCGAGATCGTTTCCGTGAATCGAAACTCCTCGGAGAGATAATCGTGTTTTCCGATGATAAACTGCCTCTTCCGCGCGGACAAACGAATCGATATTTATCGCACGTTAATACGCGCGCGAGATTGAAATATGCGTGACTTTAGCATTAATTAAAACAAATTATAATTCTCATGATTACCTAGATACTCGCACTGCAATTATGTTTTTTTTTTCCGGAGCAAGGATACATAAGGTCTGTTTTTTATAGCTGAACTGGCAGCACTAGTTCAGAGTTTATCTTTCTCCTTCCAATGTGGAGGGAAAAAGATAAACTCTGAACTAGTACAGCTAGTTCAGCTATAAAGAACAGACCTATAGATAATTTCTAAAACTCTTCAGTTGTATAAAAAGTTTGCCGTTTTCTAAAATCATACATTATCTACTTGTTATAATAAAGATCTTATTTCTTATATACTCGCAACAATTAATAAAAATGTATATTATATAAAGTCCATACATTATTAATAAGTGATCACAAATAAATCACAAAGTATATGTAGAAAAATGAGACTTTTATCATATGCAATAGTATTTCCTCTTATTACAGACTCAAGACTCATCATTGATTATCTATCATATTATCTGACATGTTGACTAATATCTTATGAAGAAAAATATAATTAAAAATTTTTTAAATGTACTTAAAAATATACTTTTTCAGAAAAATATTATTATATTATTCTTTTTAATAGTATATGCATGTACTATTACAAAGTACATTAAATTTACTGATTTATTCTCTTATTTTTTATATATTAGAATACAAAAAATGTAGAAATTCAATAATTAACTTTGACTATTTTTTTTAATCTTCTTGTATTCCCTCTAAAAAAATAAATCAATAAGTTTAATGTACGTAATCATTTTTCTAAAAGTTACTTGTTGAATTTACACACATTTATGCAAAAAAATGACAAAGACAGTTTTTTATAAAAGAAATTCAATAATCTATGTTATCAATCATACTTTAAATCGTTTCACCATTGCAAGATTAATAGATTAAACCGAATACTCCATGTGCATGCTTACCTTCATTATCACATTTACATCACTATCATTTTTCTCTATGTTGTGTTTGTCGAAACTTCACATGTCGCACCTATATAATAATTCTCGATTGATAGCTGCACGGTCAACGTGGTCTGCACTGTGCAAAAACTGAAAGAAGACTGCCTTGAATTAATAAATGATTGTTTATTCATTTTCTTGGATCGTATTAAAGGACTCTGTGTGTGCGTCGCATTCGACAGAATTGCTTACGTCATCATACTCGTTACAATGCAAAATTACAGTGATTATGATCGCCGTAAGGATCTCGATATATATATATGTATAACATGTAACACCAGTGAGCGTATATAA